TGCGAATCAATCTTACTATTTTGCACATGCTGCTTGATGGATCCAATGAAGTATGCGGCAAGATAATCTTTAAAAAAGACAAATATGGCAATACTTCTGAAGGAGATAACACAGAAAGCTTTATAAACACACGGCTGTAGCTGCACGTATCACTAAATTGAGATATTTCTATTTCTGGACGATAAGTATCTATGACAGATAAGCCTATTTCCCCTTCCGCTTGACCGCGCCCTTCCACAATACCTGATTTTTTAAGGACACTAATAAATTAATTGTACTATTACTTATCAGGACATTTGATGGGGAACAAGAGGAGGTTCTGGCCGATTCTAAAGTTTTTGGTACTGAAAATGGATGACGAGGTAATGGTATTCTTGATGTTATCGACATGATTCCATCTGAACATTTAGTTTTTGGCAAACTTTGACATTTTTCTTTCCACGATGATATAAAGTTGAACCTTGAAATTGAGCCTTACTTAAAGAAAACTCTTACTGTCCACGAAATCCCATGATAACGTCAAAGTCTTCACTTGTCAAAAAGAGTTAAACAATAAAACGTATATATTATTTATTTATTAAATTTATATTTTTTGTTTAAATAATTTATTTTTACATATTGTTTTTGTTTTTATTTGACACAAATTTGAAAGTTACTTGTGATGTTCCCTTTGCCTTCCGCCAATTCTGTTGCAAAGCCAACTGGTTAGTTGTCTTTACATAGCTTTTATAGCCTTAATAAGCTTACTTCCAATTGCCTATTTTCATGATATCATATATTCATACTCTAATGGTACATCTTTTATATCTCCTGTTTATTAGATTCTTTCCTCAATTTGTCTGCCAGTGCTGGAAATGCCCCTCCTACTTCGGGCGCACTTTCCTTTGGAATTGCTGCTCAATCCCCCAATCAGTTTGGATTAGGTGCGCAAGCATCACCCCAACAGGCTTCAAATGCTATGTCGTTTGCATTCTCCACTAACGCTCAGTCATTGTTAGCGACGGCGCCTGCTCCCATCAATTCGCCTGCGGCTGGTTTTGTTGCGACTTCCAACAAGCCTGTTGTTTCTCCCGCCCCTTTTACCGGATTTGGCCTTTCTGCCTCTACCACTAGCTCGACTTCTCAAAGTCCTATATTCAAACCGGCCTTCGCTGGAGCCCCTGCGACTCCACAAAATCTGTTTCCTACTCCCAGTTCTAAAGGTACTCTCGTCTTACTTTCAAATTCTTTGTCCATTTTTGAAATCTTCATTTGCATGTTTTGTTTTCCAGATTTTAGTCTTACGACAGCCGCTTCTCCGTCCACTCCCTCTCTAAACTTCAGCTTTGCACCAAAGCTATCTTCTGCAGTGGCTCCGCCGATTGCCTCTTCTCCACAGTTCAGTTTCACTCTACCTGTTTCTACTGCCCCTACATCTACGGCTCCTCTTACCAGCGATTTAGGACAGTCCCGGGGCTTGCAGCCTAGCACTACTACGGCTGATGAACAGCATAATTCTAAGGTTGTTTGTGAAACCAGTAAAAAACTCTTTATTTGTGTCATCTAAGGCTATTTTTTCTCAATAGTTATTTTCGGCATCGACGTCAGCTGCAGTTACATCGTTCAGTATACCTGCCAGCTCTGCCGCAGCTTCGCTTGCTGCTACTATCGCAACTTCAACCACATCTGATTCTCCTAAGTCCACCTTCAGTTTTGGGCTGGGTACTTCTTTCTTCCAGCCTCCCAGCACATCCGGTTCTTCAACTCCCTCGCTCTTAACTACGGTTGCCTCATCGGTGTCCACTTCTGGTGGCCTTGTTCAGCAGCCTAAGTTGACATATCGGCAATTGGAAGAGCTGGTTAATCGTTGGACTCTGGAATTGGACGAGCAAGAGAGGCATTTTTTAAACGAAGTTACGCGACTTAATCAATGGGACCAAGTTTTAATTTCTAACGCTGAAAAGATCGCAGCATTGCACGATAAAGTTGAAGCATCAAAGGCTGAGCAGACCCGAATTGAGAATGTATGTCAGCACTTGTTTAGACTGTAACTTTTATCTTCATGGAGCATTTTATATTTGCCTGTTTACTTGTGGCCATTGGTTTTATTCACCTATGATATAATTAAGACATTTTATTGATTGCTATCCTTATTTCTTTGGCTCGTACTCTTGCAGTAGGGATACAATCACTAATGTTGTGGGGCTCTTTATTTCGTATGGAAGCATATGATCAGATTTGTAGCTCCGTCCTAACAGAAGGCGACAGCTCAATCTCATTTTACCGTAGCCGTTTGACTTTAATACGACGTTCAGGCTGACGCATTCCATGATACATTCTACTTTGTTTTTGACGAAAAAGGGTTGAGCTTTCATTTTTCATACGACGAACATCGTCAAAGCTATGACTTATTCTTGCAAGAGCTTCGAGTTAACACTAAGTAAGGATACATTCTGCTATAATGTAACCAGCCAAACCATTGTTTATCTATTTATATCTCATT